CCACGAAGGCGATAAGCAGATATGGATTACAGATTTGAAACCAGCGTTGAATGCGGCATCATATGGTATGCAGCTTGCTTCGATTGGCCATTTCGACTTCTGACCATTTCCTTGTTGGTTCAATTTTTTGAACTTTGCTTAGTAACGTTGGCAAAGGCAGTGAGGTTGGGTATTACTGTAAGAGAATCTTTGACGAGAAGGATTAGAGACTTCGTCTACTCTGGAAATGTCAAGCAAAAATTGCGTCAGCCTTTGACCAGCTAGAAAAGTGAATGATATCCAAAATAGAACTTAAGCTGGAATTCCAAGCGCTACTTCACGGAATAGAAATTAACACTTTTGCAGCGTCCTTAAAATCCAAATCTGTAAAAATCTCTTTTCTACTGATCAATTGAAGGGGCCCGTGCAAAATTTCATGCTTTCAGAAATATCAACGAGCACTTCCAGGAACTTCTGCATCGCTGCCTGTTGGTAAAGCAAGCGATATGAATCGTTCGTTTAGGATAGGCCGCCCTCAGGATTTTTCCCTTTGGTAGAAAAAACGCAATTTTGTGGTTTATTTACTTCCGCAATGTCCCTCTAAGAGCTTACTTCTTCAAACTCAAACCGTCCATAGATTTTATCAAAAATTATCACAGCACAGGGTAATAATCACGGTGCAGAAATTACATAATTCGTTTTCCGCAGAGGTACTATGCAAATAACCCTTGTGCTCTGCGAACATAACTTCACAAACACCTTTAGACTTACTCTGTTCAACAAAAAAACCGACGTGGTCAAGCCTTTGAAATCATTTCGTATGCGCTACTTGCGATTTAGTGTCAGAACTAGTTTTGTTCGGATTGACAACTTCGCTTGATTGCTACTAAACCATGACTAGCAGATGTTGGGGAGCGGCAAAAAGTGGAACAGCTTGATTTTTATTACATTTTGAGATTTGTTTTGATCAAAAGTGAGTAGACTGCACTTTAAACGTCGCTGCCTTTGCCTATTATTTCGTAACGCGTTAACGCTGCTCCCCCACAACTGCGCGTGACGCCGCGAAAGGACTCGAGGGTTTTTTGAACCTCGCTCATTCTTGCTATACCGTAAAATTATGAGGCAGATGGCCTACCAATCAAAAGAGTTCTTTCTGCTCTTTGAAAAAGTATAATAAACATATATGATCGTCCTCCCCCCACTAGACACCTACATAGTGGACAAATTCGAATTGAACTAGAGCACTCCTTTTGCGGCATCGCGGCAACTGCAGCTCTTGATTCAATCTCAAACAAATTTTTTGTGCTTTCCCGACGTCTCAAGCTAATTTTTGAATGCAGGTAGTTTTCTCAATTGATATTAAAGTTGCTGATTTTGTTGGAGCGATGAATTGTGCTGCTATGCTCGTTTCTTTGAATACGAATCCAAGTTGTGCTTGGAAAAACGATTAAGTTTGAAAACTGGTGAGATTTTTCTCGGTAAGTCTTAAAGTGTTGCTTCATTGAACCCAAAATAAAGAAACGAGCACAGTAGTAGAGACATCGCTAAGCAACAACGAACTCTTCAATTCCATAGCAATCATCATTAAAAAAAGAATAACGGTGCAACGACAACAAAACACAAAAGAAAATTGTATTAGCTTTTTATGATTGCCGATGCCGCGTTCTGCCGCAACCAGGTGTACTAGTTCAAATTCGAACTTGTACACTAGTTGTCTAGTGGGGGGAAAACGACTTAGGTGCTTTTCAATTCTGGATAAGGGAAAAAAACATTTTCTGAAATTGCAATTTTTTGGCGCGACAAAAAATCATAAAGAACCTATATCTTCCGAAGCCGAATTGAGGTAAACCGTATAGATGGATAGAGCGTGAAAAGGTTCATCGGAAGCCATGGTAGCCAAAAATATGCGTTCACTTTCTAAGAAGTAAAAATCACGCAAATTCGTTCCGAAAAATGCTAATAAACATATCGCTTTACCTTAGGCGTTAAACAAACCATCGTGGGTTTGGTGACTGTACGTTTACCCACTGCAGCAGCGGTACTTTGGATGGTTTCACAAGCGACCAGCTTTACATTTCAACAAGTATAAAAAATTATGAAGTATTTTGATGGCCTCGTGTAGGTGTTGTCTAAAAGATAACTATGTATGCTAACATCTGTTAAAGTTGAAAAGATTACCCACTGTTTTTTTTTGAGAAATCTACATATTCTCTAGATGTCCCATTCATTAGCGTTTACTCTAATAGTATTTCGAGCTAGCGAACATGATATTATTCCTTTTTAATGTTATTACGGACGCGAAGGGCATGAAATGAGTGCACTTATGGTGAGAACATGACAACTGTCTTTTTTGTGCCGCGTACCTATAATTTACTGGCCTTGCAAAACCTAACTGCTCGTGTCGTGCTTTGAACACCACCATAGGCGAGCGGTCGTCACTATAGGTTATTTTCCGGTTAGCACCATGTTGTTTTCAGCGTTACATTATGTATTAGCCAGTGGCGTACCGAGGGGGGGGCGGGGGAAGCGCCCCCACCCCCGAGAATGGGTCGCGGAATTTTTGAAAGTTACTTATATGAGTTATAAAATGTGCAAGTGACTTGTTTATTTTTGTAAATAATTAAAATAATTTTTAAAAATTTTTGAAAATCCTAATTAGCCTTGTAAAAAATTTTTTTCGGGGGCGTGGCTGACGCCACGCCCCCTTTTTCCAGATTTTAGGCAGCCACGCACCTTCATTAGAAAAAATTTTTTGTCGCCCCCCCGCCCCCGAGCCGAAATCCTGGTACGCCACTGGTATTAGCCCAAAAGTATCTTCAAAAGTTTATATTAGGTTGTCCGGAAATTGATGCAGGTTTCGAATTACTGCAATAGGTCATACACTTCTTATTTCTAAGTAGGTTGTAAGGTACCGTTCGATAGAGCAAAGCAAGCTCTACCAGACGGCTGTCTTTATTTAGCAATAGCTCTGATCCACAACGAGTTTCGCGCCGAAAACTAAAAACATTCAAGTGAGCCCGAAAAGAGAAAAATCGTAACTTAGTTTATAAAAATCCTACAAAAATTCTAACTTGCTCACGTAAACATAATCCACATAGAGCACCTATATACGCCGTTGCCGTATTTTTTCTCTGTTAGAAGTCAAGAAAACGGAATTTTCGTGCATTTGCCAAAGTGGTGCTATGCCGTTCCCACATAAGTAATTGTATTCTACAAGCCTGTACAAGTACAAACGTAAAGTTCCAGCTCTCTACAAGCTTTAGTTCTCGAGAAATATCGAATACAGTTTTCCCTAGTCATGTGGTTCAAGCCAAAATTCAAATTTCTTGAGAACTAAAGCTTGAGAGCTGGAAATTTATGTTTGTACTTGTACAGGCTTGTAGAATACTATTACTTATGTGGGAACGGCCCAGCACCACTTTGGCAAAAGCACGAAAATTTGAAACACGAAAAAAACCCGTTTTCTTGATTTCTAACAGAGAAAAAAATATGGCAGCAGCGTATATAGATGCTGTATGTGGACATGTTTACATGAGCAAGTTAGAATTTTTATAGGATTTTTATGAATTGAGTTACGATTTTTCTCAATTTTTCGGACACTTGAACGTTTTAAGTTTTTGGCGCGAAACTCGTTGTGGTTCAGAGCTATTGCTAAATCAAGATAGCCATCTGGTAGAGCTTGCTTTGCTCTATTGAACGGTACCTTACAACCTACTTAGAAATAAGAAGTATATGACTTAATGCAGTTGGAATTCAAAACCTACATTAATTTCCGGACAACTTAATAAAATTACGATAAATAAGGTGCGCCTCTATTTGCCTGTGAATAGCCTATCACACGTCAGGACCCTACGTTTCCAGCCGCTCCGCGCCTTGGTTTTCAGAGCGCGGCGCGGGCTTCTGGCCTATACGTCTGCAAACTTGGGAAAAATTTCTAGTTCTATTAGGTTGTCAAGAAAATAATGTCCGTTTTTATTTGCTTGCTTTAACAAAGCAACCAGACTCAACCCAACAAAGATTAAGGGGTACTGTTCGATAGAGCAAAGCAAGCTCTACAAGATGGCGCTCATGTTTTTGCGCCATGCTCGATCCACGGAGAGTTCGAACTCAAAATCTAAAGATTTCCAAATGCCCAAAAAATCGAAAAAAATCAGATCTTTGTCCAAATAATTTCTACGGACCTCCCACTCGCTCACATCAATACTATCGATATCTGATATCCATATATGTGCGATTGTCGTATTTCTTCCTTGACTAGAAACTGAGAAAACGAAAATTTTCCTGATTTTCTCAAAGCAATGCTGAGCCGTTTTTGCATATGTAGTTCTATACTACAAGCCTAGGTAAGCATAACTGTAGATTTTCAGCCCATTCCAAGCGGTAGTTTTCGAAAAATAACGAATTCGGATTTTTTCGTTTTAGTTTCAGTGCTAAAATCGACATTTCTCGAAAAGCACCGCTCGAAATAGGCTGAAAACCTACAGTTATGCTTACCTAGGCTCGTAGTATAGAACTACATATGCAAAAACGGCTCAGCATTGCTTTGAGAAAATCAGGGAAATTTTTGTTTTCTCAGTTTCTAGTCAAGGAAAAAATACGGCAATCGCACATATGGATATCAGATATCGATAGTATTGATGTGAGCGAGTGGGAGGTCCGTAGAAATTATTTCGACGAAGATCTGATTTTTTTCGATTTTTTGGGCATTTGGAAATCGTTAGATTTTGAGTTCGAACTCTCCGTGGATCGAGCATGGCGCAAAGACATGAGCGCTATCTTGTAGAGCTTGCTTTGCTCTATCGAACAGTACCCCTTACCCTTTGTTGGGTTGAGTTTGATTGCTTTGTTAAAGCAAGCAAATAAAAACGGACATTATTTTCTTGACAACCTAATAACACAGCTGTAAGCTAACACAGCTAACCAGCCGACGGTTACAATGCCGTTAACATAGAAGCGCCTCTCAAAAACCATGCAGATACATTTTTAGCTGAAAAGCTGAGAAATATACACAATAATGGCACCTTTTTTATTTTGCTGCTCCAGTGATGTTTCTCATTGATCGTCTCAATGAAGGCATCCTTCAAGTGGTTATAGATCTTCTGCATTACTTTTTGCGTTTCCTATAATGAACGTGTGAAACTAATATAGTGACATTATAACAGTACTATCATATTGGTACTGGTCACAGCCATACTCAAGTAAACTTCTGCAGAACAAAGATGCGCTTAGTCTAATGGGCGCGCACGCGACGCATGCTCCATACCACTGCTATCATCGTTCGGAACCGCACGCCCTACAGTTGTATAGCAAAATGCCAGTCATGACTTGAGTTATAGTGCGTTCGCGCCTCTGAGTGGTTTTTTTTGTCTAGCAGTAGAGCTCAACTTATTCATAATGCGCATGTTTCAATTAATTATCCTGCCCATCTGTATTAGGAAAGCTGCTGTGTCCATTTGCACGAAACGGGTTTAAAAGCATACAGCGCCCTACAGTTGTATAGCAAAATGCCAGTCATGACTTGAGTTATAGTGCGTTCGCGCCTCTGAGTGGTTTTTTTTGTCTAGCAGTAGAGCTCAACTTATTCATAATGCGCATGTTTCAATTAATTATCCTGCCCATCTGTATTAGGAAAGCTGCTGTGTCCATTTGCACGAAACGGGTTTAAAAGCATAGTCATAGTTTGTCTGATATATGGCAGCAGTTGTTTAATTGTTTTTCTTTTCAAAAAAAAGTACTTGACAGCAACAATTTATGTGCAATAAGGTTAAAAAACGCACTGTATAGTAATCAATATCCTGCCTTAATGACTCTAGTGTTCGAAGTGTCATATCAAAGGACTTTGTCAGCATGGACTGTAGCTTTTCTAGTTATCGCCTTTCACCATTATAGATTAAGGTAAAAGTTTCGAGATTTGAAAAGATCCATTCGCAAATCTCCTTATATTTCGCAAAAACCGCTACCGATTTAGGTCTATACGCTAACCACTTTTTTGTTTTTTATCCGCCACCAAAAGACTCAAATCAATGTTGAGCTTATTGGATAATCAGTGTCACCTCTGCTTCGCAGAGGCTCGCACTGATTCGACTATCTGGATGCTCTACTTATCCTACTTATGGATGCTCCACTTATCCTACTTATGGATGCTCTACTTATCCTTGCATATTGATCACTGAAACTCACCGCGCAATGCCAAATATCACAAAGTGTAAACTAGTACTCATCAAAGCTTTTTGTGTGAAATCGGTGATTTTGCGTGGATGAAACTTGTTTGCAAAAGAACAAACGCAAAATTGAATAGGTTCTTGAGTTTTTCATCGCGTTTGGTAGTCTCCATAAAAACAGTAATTACTGAGCTACATCGCGCAAAAATCCCGTCAAACTCAGGTAAAACCTTGGCAAATTAACAATTTACGCAACCCTTTCTTTTTGTCGTCGTTTTTGTACAGTAGAAGACTTTTGATCACATTTTTGGGACAGGTTTATAGCTTGCACTTTTACTTGCCAAACACTACGATGACTGTGGAAAAAGTGAAAATACGGGCCCAATTTTGCGGGTCAGAAGCCAAGTGGATCCGTTTGGCGCAGTTTATGAGGAATATACTCAAACAATTTGCTCATGCTTTTGCATGTTGGATTTCCATGCGGGTAGTATGGGTGCAAAATTTGAGCTTAGGTGGTTGACCACCGGCTTATGCTCTACAGATTTCGTAACACACACACACACACACACACACACACACACACACACACACACACACACACACACACACTCCCCACACACACACCCGCCCTCTTTTACATGAGTATGGAAAATGCTTGATTGAACATGATAACCCTTCAATTCCTTAGGGAAATGTAAACAAATCAATAAATCGATAAAAGGACCCAACGAATCGCCACAAAAAGTAGCCTATCATCTGCGCAAGGGTCGAAAACATATGTGTGCAAAGTTTCAGCTAAATCGGTTGAGTGGCGCGCGTTTCTATAACGCACATACCCTCCAAACTGACAATTTTTGAGTTTTATATATATATAGATGATAACACACTGACCAAAGCTGGAATTCTTATGCTTCAAAACTTGCTATTGCCATTCCTCTTAAAGTCACATATAGTCTCCAAGAATTCAACGTGTACGTTATAGGGTGTTGAAGGAATTCTTAAGGAAGTGTAAGCATGTTTATAGTAGACAAACGGAGGTCTATTAAGCAACTACGAGGCTACCACATATACGTGTGCTGTAGTGAATCGGAATTTTCGCTACTCTGAGATTTCAACAATGTATCACAAACGAGATGAGCACAAAAAGGGACAAAAAGGTTGGCAGAAAGGTTCTCAGGTTCTATCAAATTTTTGTTGTGTAGAAGTTGAATGCCTTCGAAGAAAAATGGGAGTTTTGGGAATCTTCGGTGGTATTATCAAAATTAGCCATCCTCTGTCGTATGAGTAGCACCTGTTTACGCTAAACGAGAGCAGACTCAGGCCGCGTCGCAGTGGCGCTCATCACTTTAGCGCGCTTTTGCAAAGCACTCACCGTCGTGCTAATACCATTAGTCTGCAATGCAACTGCTTTTCAACACGGCCCAGAAGGAGGGTAGCAAGTTGGCATCGGTAAAATGACTTCGCCTTTGTCACTACCAATTTTCCACTTGATTTCACCAGCTGCGTAGGTCGTTCGATCAGAGCGCACCTTTCTCAAAGGGACGGCTCATTGCTACTCCAGATCCTAACAAGGAGTAGAGGAGAAGTTTTGGAATTGTTACTAAACACTAAATTATAGGTGTAAAAGAAAGTTATGTGGAAATCTTGAAAATTGATGTGAAAAAGTTTTGCCTGTCTCAGGTGGGCATTGGGTGGGCAATTGCCTTACTTATTCTAAAAAAAGTCCGGCACACTCTTTATTCACGTAATTTCTTCCGTCATTGTGCGTTGCAAACGAGCCATTTCAACATTTTGTGATAGTGGGATATTTTTGGAAATAAAAAACTTCCCAAATTTTTTCAGCCACATAATGTATCCCCAATGCTAAGCACCATGCTCCTCCTGGTCCATGTCCGTTAATACTTCGATATTTTTTGATCATATCGCGCCTATGTGTGCGATGCAACCTAATCATTTGATTACAACCCAATGAAATTTGGATTTTTGAAGATAACTCGCGAGCAAGATCGCGTTTTTGCATGTCAGTTGTGTAGCGACTTGTAGTGTATGTACATGTAAATGTACATTTACAATCACGATATCCCCATTGATTTCCATCCAAAACGACCTCCAGTCCGACATTTGTCCTCCTCGTGCCTGGCGCTGCTTCTCACCGCTTTGAAATAGCCTAACACGCCACATCTCCATGAATAGGATAAGAGTTTGGAATTCTATTACTAAGGAACGAAATACTTATCAAACTAAGAGGATCGCGTAATTATCAACAACATATGTACCTCAATTTGAGGTGGAGTCGCTTGCACACTGCAACATAAGTTTAGACAATTGAATTGAATTCAAACGTTCACTCAAAACTTGAGGGAGAGGGCAGCGCTCATGAATTTGCTAGGAAACACAACCGAACAGCTTCGCAGCGATTCCATAATTTATCTTAACAGCAATGCATAAATTGGTAGAACACACAAATTCTGGATAATTTATGTTTTTTGCAACTGAGTTTTAAAAATATGTCTCAAATCGCCTTGTCGCCGGCAGCTGGTGAATTTATGACTCTTGGTGAATGCGATACTCTCGGTTTATATCTGGTGTTCAAAGTCACCATTAGCGACATGTAAGTTCGGGTACATAGTGATTCGTAAGTTCTGGAACATTATGAACCCTGCTTAAAGGCAGTGCCCCGGAAAATTCTGCACTTCCTTTTCTCTGCATATTTTAGACATTTTCGACACGTGGAACCCGAATTTGAGCTCGGGGTGAAAAAGCCGATTTTGTGGCGCTTACCAGAGCAGTTCGAACAAGATTTTTCTTGGAAAGTTGACAGGCTTCGGCACGAGAGCTTTGTTGCTGGTAGTTTTTTTTTGGGTAGCACGCACAATGCGGGAACGGCCGTGAGTTTCCGCGCCAGCAGACAAGCAAAGGGGTCCGAGCACGCGCCTGTTCGAGGGCTAATTTCTCGGCGCGGGGGAACATCAACCACCCGGAGTGGGTCTGGAGGTTTAGGGTGACCAGTCTCCACCACACCTCTATCACCCAGGCGGAAATCTGCTGGGATTTAAGATCCAAAATTTTAGGTTGTATTATTGCTTCGCGCCAGGAACTCAGTTTCAGGCTGAATCTGAGAACTTGCAGTCTTTTCAATTTGGAGTAGGTGAGCATTTCAAGAGGAACAGCGCGTCCGCACCGCCACTGGCTCAGTGAAATAAATCAGAATGAAGAGACGCAAACTGCGAAACGGTACGAATCGTTGCAGAGCGGACTCCCACCAGTTTTTCGCCTAAAGAGTTAAAACTTAAGTTTTTTTTTGTTAGGTGCTTCGTACTTTTTTGCAAATGCGAATAGGTTTTTTTTCTTTGTGAGATGGTTTTATATTAGGTTGTCCCGAAAGTTCGTTCGCACCATTTTCAAAAAATCATAACTTCTTTGCCTCATAACGATTTTGCGCAGTTTAAATTTTATTAGAAAGCGTAAGGAATGTAGTTTCCAAATGCTCCCTAGGGAGCTTTTGAAAACCACATGCCTTGCGCTTTCTAATAAAATTTAAACTGCGCAAAATCGTTATGAGGCAAAGAAGTTATGGTTTTTTGAAAATGGTGCGAACGAACTTTGAGACAACCTAATATTTTTGCAAATGCGAATCTCATTTAGAACTATATCATCTCATGCAAGAACTCTCTGCATGAAAGCATGGTCATCGAATATTTCACACTAATAATTAGAAACAGCACGCTCGTACTACACAGTATGGAATGCTTCTTATTTGTTACATCACCCTCTGTGCTACCATTCACTGTTCTCGCAATTCACTTCTTCTCCTGTCCTTGTTTTTAATAACAAACATTAGGTTGGAAACTAAGTTTTGCAACTCGTTCAATAATTTTTTCTTTCTCAACCCGGCGCACTCGAATTTTGTCATTGTTCAGGTCACGGCGTAATCTGCAAGAGCAGGTGCTGCTCTGCCA